AAGGTAGAATGACGTCAAAAAGATTTGCATACGCAGGGTAAGAGTTGTGGAAGTGTACATAAGACTGTAAGCGTAAATTAAATTTGCATGCGCAAGTGAAGCTTTGTAAAGGTGTAAATCGTGTTTCAAGCGCAAGAAAAAAATTATTTGCAGCATTTTACTGTTACTCGTAAGTGTAATTCATGTATTGTGAAACTGCAGCTTCATGCTAACGCAAAATAAATATGATCTGCATGCTTCTGACTTCCATTTTTCCGCGCTTACACTTTTGGCACGGTTTTCCCGCCAAAACACGGTCAAAAGCACTGCAAGCCTGTGAACAGTGATTTGCAAGCGAAAACAACAGTTTAAAGAACTGCAAAACGGATTGACTGCATAGAACCAATCTGTATGTGTACAAAACTAACTGTTGCAAATGTCTAAATGACTTGTTGTGCATGTGGGGCAAAAAGTTCCCGAAATAAACCGATATGTACAGCTCCGTCTTTCTTTTATCTGCGCTTACAATTTTGGCACGATTCTCTCACTAACTGAGTTTTGCAAGCATGAGGGGGAGGGCGGGGCCACCTTCTTCTTGTAGCCAATCAAATGAGCCTCTCGCTGACTCTCCAGTTACTCTTATCTGATTGGTTCAATAAACACATCATACCCAAGACATTAATCTTCATTTAGTCCAGGATCATTCTTGCTGTCGGAATGGTACACATACAGTAAAAAAAAAAAAAAAATCAACTTAATTAAAACATGATATTTTATAAGTTGTGTACCATTAGGCTATGTGTTCATACTGAATTTTGAGCTGTGTAGTTTCCTTCTCTTCCTCAACAGGCTATATGATATATTAGTTTATTGTAATATTATATTGTAATTTTGATGATATTTAAGAAGGCCTAGTATCTGCACTAGCCTAATACATGCATAATTTCACCTGTCTACTGATCCATTTTTTAAACACAAATTTGGTTCAATAATAATTGAACCAACAGAACCGACAGAACCAACAGTAATAATTTTTTATTTAACATGTTGTAATTTAAGAGGATTTTACAAAATATTACTAAAATATTTATTAAAATATTTATCTCTAACTTATTCACCATTTATCATCTGTAATACTAACGTGTAACGATATAGTGATACCATAGTGTTGAGCATTGTCACATAACATCATTTTGATTATAAAGTTTAACATCAGCTCACTGGTGTAAGCAGATTATGACATTTCAATGTAAAGCCAAACCAAATAATGTTAACACCAGCTCGCAATTCAGTATGAACACATGGGAGTCTAGCCTAAAGGAACACAGCTTAGGAAAGGAGCATGTTTTAATGAAGTTGTTATTTTTAAATAAAAATTGTTTCTGTATGTGTACGTTAAAAGTACCATTCCGACAGCAAAAATGATCCTGAACTAAATGAAGATTAATGTCTTGGCGTATGATGTGTTTATTGAACCAATCAGATAAGAGTAACTGGAGAGTTACATTTTTTTTACTTAACCTATTAATAATAATAGTAATAATAGTAATAATAGTAATTTGTAAAGGCTATTTTCTCAAAAGAAAAAAAAATCACTGTGTTTCAAGGTCACAACACTTTTAAAAATAATAGTTATTTATTGGCATCAGTGGTTCCATTAAAGGGGTTATATGATGCTGCTAAAAAGAACATTATTTTGTGTAATTGGTGTAATGAAATATGTTTATGAGGTTTAAGTAAAAAAAAAACATTATTTCCCACATACTCTACATTATTGTTTCTCCTCTATGCCCCGCCTTTCTGAAACGTGTCGATTTTTACAAAGCTCATCGTTCTAAAAAAGCGAGGTGTGCTGTGATTGGCCAGCTATCCAGTGCGTTGTGATTGGCGGAATACCTCAAACGGGAGACAGAAATGTTACGCCCCTCACCATATTGTGATGATGCCCTGTCAGGCCGGAGCGATGATTCAAAAACATTAAAACCCATTATAAACGAGGCATTCGTTGCATCCAGTGGGGACATAATTATGGAAAACTCAGTTAGTGAGAGAATCGTGCCAAAATTGTAAGCGCAGATAAAAGAAAGACGGAGCTGTACATATCGGTTTATTTCGGGAACTTTTTGCCCCACATGCACAACAAGTCATTTATATCTGTTGTAATCAATATCACCCGAAGTCATTCAATGTCCACAGCTAAAAAAATAAAACTTCAGGGAAGAGCACATCACTGAAATTGTGTGTGCATTGTTAAATATGCACTATATTATACATACACTACATTTTTTTTACTTAACCTATTAATAATAATAGTAATAATAGTAATAATAGTAATTTGTAAAGGCTATTTTCTCAAAAGAAAAAAAAATCACTGTGTTTCAAGGTCACAACACTTTTAAAAATAATAGTTATTTATTGGCATCAGTGGTTCCATTAAAGGGGTTATATGATGCTGCTAAAAAGAACATTATTTTGTGTAATTGGTGTAATGAAATATGTTTATGAGGTTTAAGTAAAAAAAAAACATTATTTCCCACATACTCTACATTATTGTTTCTCCTCTATGCCCCGCCTTTCTGAAACGTGTCGATTTTTACAAAGCTCATCGTTCTAAAAAAGCGAGGTGTGCTGTGATTGGCCAGCTATCCAGTGCGTTGTGATTGGCGGAATACCTCAAACGGGAGACAGAAATGTTACGCCCCTCACCATATTGTGATGATGCCCTGTCAGGCCGGAGCGATGATTCAAAAACATTAAAACCCATTATAAACGAGGCATTCGTTGCATCCAGTGGGGACATAATTATGGATTATAATGACTTATACTGTCTTTTTACGCGTTGCATTGCGTTGCATCGCGCCGTGCCGCGTAAACATAAAACCATATCTGCATTTGTGATCGGAGAAATGACAAACAACAAGCCCTACTCTACACTGCCCAAAAAACTCACTTTAAATATATAAAACAAAGTAGTTTCGCTTTCACAACGAAACACAGCGTCAACCACATGTGACGACCCCTGGCTGGACTCCGCTTCGTCCACGTTGAAAGCCAATCCGGCGATCCACAGCGCAAAGTTGTTGTATTTCCTCAGCGACCAGCACGGATCAGCTCCAGGCATGACGAAGGCAAATCTTCCCACATAGTGATGTAGGTATGTCGGGGCGTGTTAGAGCGAGGCGTTTTAGGTAGGTGTGGCTGACTCTTAACTTTTATAAAGAATAACTCTTTGGATTTGAGACTTTAGTCTTTGCAACTTTACAGATCTTCTTTATGCACCAAGAGCTTGTAATGCTCCAAAGAGAAAGGAAACATTTAAATCTTTAAGAACCTTTAACATAAGGGACCTTTCCATTCCACAAAAGGCTCTTTATAGTGAAACATTTTTCTTTTTAAGAGGAAACCTTTAAAATGTTGCCAGCCTACTGAATTTTGTTCATTAATTATGGGTTTGGCATCATTGGCATCCAACTAAAGGAAAAAACAACAGCTGATGCATATGATTATGTACATTTTTGGTTTCTTATTTAACCAGTGGGCATACGACATTTTATCTGATCACTAGAGGGAGGGTCGAACTGCTCCTGCAATCTGTCCTGAAAACTACACCATGCTCTCTGCAGTTTTAGTCTTGCTTCTGGCAAGTGTAAACTGTGAGATATTTTTCGGAACATCAATTTTTAGAATGCAATTTTCTTGCATTGTTAATAATCACTGATCTGAAGGTGCTTTTGTACGGTGGCCGAGAGAGCTCAACGCGCTGCAACTTAAGAAAACACATGCAAATTGAAAAAACACCAGCAAATTAAGAAAACATCTTCATCAGCTTGACAACACACGCGCTGCAAATCCTCACAACACATGCAAATGAAGAAACCTGCAAATCCTCACAACACATGCAAATGAAGAAACCTGCAAATCCTCACAACACATGCAAATGAAGAAACGCTGAAATCCTCACAACACATGCAAATGAAGAAACTTACAGCGGCAAACTAAAAATCTGATTTTTAAGTTACTAGAGACTCTTACAAGAGCAAAACAACTCTGTAAGGACAGAATATGATGATTAAGGACACAGCAGTGACTTACGATGCATGAGAGTGAACACAATGATAACCACAAGCAGTTCTTCTCTAAAACATCTTGAATAAAAAGTAAAAAAAAATATCCTCATACATAGGAATATAAAAGTGCATATGAATCATACCATATTTCAAGAGAGCAATAAATAATATTAGCCCTAACATGAATATTTTTGTAGCATGTAGATTTGATTAGTAGCTCCATATGATTATGTAAATCTCCTGTTGCATATTTAAACAGCAGGTATGAGTCAGTTTTCACATTCATCTGATCACTAGAGGGAGTGAAGAATCGCTTCAGCTCATTCAAACTGTGCTGTGAAACAAACCATGATCTCTTCATCTTTAGTGCTGCTTCTGGCAGTGATATCCTGTAAGTTTAGTCTGCTTTCTGTGTGATACATTATTTTGTTGCTAAAAAGCTTGTTAACAGTTTTATTAACTGGTATTATTTGATTTGATACAGGTATTGATTCATATGAGCTCACTCAGCCTGAGTCTCTGACTGTCCGTCCTGATGCCACTCTCACTATCAACTGTAAAGTCTCATATTCAGTTACAAGCTATGTTACAGCCTGGATTCGTCAGCCTGCAGGAAAAGCTCTGGAGTGGATTGGAGTCATCTGGCATAATGGAGACTTATACTACAAGGACTCGCTGAAAAGCAAGTTCAGTATCACCAGAGACACTTCCAGTAACACAATAACACTGCAAGGAAAGAATATGCAAGCTGAAGACACAGCTGTGTATTATTGTGCCAGATAAACACAGTGACAGACGCCAACAGCCTCCCCGTACAAAAACATCATCATCATATCACAAATTGAAAATATTTAAATCATTAACAGTCTGAACACAAAAGGTTTTCAAATGTCATAATGACATTATAGACATTAATTCAGCTTGCACAACAAAATTCCATAAAAAAGCCTTATAATGAAACAAATGCATCATTTATCACCAAGTAATGTATCATTTGAACCAATATAAAGAAAATGAACACTCAACAAATATCAAAGCGTCATGATGACAAACTGATGTCATGGATTTATAATCATTGTATAAGTGTTACTGAAAGGGCCAAAGTAATTTACAGATTCTTAAAAGCCACAAAACTAGTGGAAAATCCCCCCCAAAAAATTTGAACACGCACGCGCGCGCACGCGCACGCGCACGCACACACACACAGGTCTTTATCCCTTTCAGCTGATTTAGGTGGTCAGAGCTTAGAGTTCATCCCTTCAAGTCCTGTCACCAAAAAGCCCGGAGAAACTCTGAATCTCTCATCTGGATTTGGATCTGGATTTGATTTTGGACAGTACGGCATGCACTGGATCAGACAGTCAGCAGGACAAACATTCATCTGGATGGGGGTTATCTGGTATGATGCCAGTAAAACAGTGTATGCTAAAAGTGTAGAGGGACGAATAGAGATCACTAGAGATAATTCAAACAGCATGGTGTATCTGAAACTCTCTGGTCTGACAACAGAAGATACAGCTTTATATTACTGTGCAAGAAATACACAATGATGCAGAAAAAGCACTGAACTGTACAAAAACATGCCAGGGAGGAAAATGAGATTAAAACAACAACAACAACAACAACAA